CTTGTGACCTAAACGTATAGCGTAAAACATTCCAATAAATATAAAACCCATAAATATAAACACAACCATACTAGAAATAGCTAAGGTGAAACCCAAAGATATTATTAAAATTAAACATAAGACAGCACATGGCCAGGGAGTAGCTACTGATGAACATACGYGTATGACCGTGCCAAAACTGAGATATACACTGACAAAGATAAAACTAAGTGCAGCTCGGCAAAACATACCTCCGAAACCTGCTGAGTTTCGGTTTGGTTTAAAGACTTTCCCACAGAAGAACGTGGCGCTCCCGCCGAAGACACCGTAACCACCGAATCTTCTATCGCCGGTACGGCCAAAGCTGCTGAGACGTTTAAAGGCACTTGAGACGTGGTAGAGGAAGTTAGTGGATCAGCCACACTAACAACCACATCGGTTGGATTCAATTCTTCAATAATCTCAGCCGGAGAAGTCATAGTGAAACGCTGCTGGGTGAACGAACTACTTGATAAATGGATTTCTTTCTCCAGTAGGGTTCACGCCAAGTGACATACTTGAATATTTAATGATCTCTTAAATAATACTAATGACGTCATCAGGATGTCTGATGAATATTTAATGAGATAGGATGCCAATACCTCGTGATATCTTTTTACTTATTTCATGCACATGCATTTTCCAACTTAAGTGAGTATCAAAAATTAAACCCAAATATTTAACAGATTGATCATGTTTTATAGAGGTATTTGCTATTTTAAGGCTAATAGTATAATTAATCTTTTTTTGATAAGAGTGAAATAATACAAGGCTGGTTTTTTCTATATTTAAAGATAATTTATTGGCACACAACCACATGTTAACTTTGTGRAGTTCAATATTTAGCTTATTTCCTAACTGTTGTAGATTATCACTACTAAGAAATAGATTGGTATCATCTGCAAATAAATGAAAATCAAAGACATTCGAAGATCTATTTATATCATTAATATACAAAATAAAAAGCAGTGGCCCTAGGACTGAGCGTTTTGGGACTCCCCATTTAATATTTAAATAATTAGATTCTGTTTGACCAATTGATACATATTGCTTTCTGTTATCTAGATATGAAGCAAACCACTTCAATGCTATACCTCGAATACCATAACATTCAAGTTTGTTTAATAGGATTTTATGATCGACAGTATCAAATGCTTCGCAAAAGTCTATGAATATACCACAAGAATATTTGCTACTGTCAATGGCTTCTTGGATCTTATTGGTAAGAAGCGTAACAGAATGTACAGTGGAGTGTTTAGCTCTAAAACCAAATTGATGATCAAAAATAATAGAAAATTTATCTAAATATTTCATTAATCTATTGAAAACAAGTTTCTCAAGGATTTTATTAAATATTGGGTTGAAAAAGATATTATCTATCAGTGTGGCAGAGTGATCAGCTATTCTTGTGGGCTTAATAATGTGTGGTTCAAAGAAATTAGAGCTCATAGTGTTTATAAACTCTTCTATGAGACAATGAGTCTTAAAATTTAGTAAATTTATATTGAAATCACCTGATAATAAACAATATTTATTTTCCCTATTTATCTTCTCAAAATCAGAATATAATTGATTTAGGAAGTTCTCTAAATTAGAATTTGGATGTCTATACACTATACCACACAGTATGTTCTTATTCAACTTATTTTCAATTTCAATCCAGAGAATTTCCTTTTCATGTGTACAGGAACTTAAATCATCCCTAACACAGTAATTTATATCATTTCTTATAAAAAAGCCAACACCTCCAGCCCTTTGTGTAGAAGGTTGTGAAATAAACTGGTATTCAGGTAAATCAAATAAGTAACTGCTATCAGAAGTATTTAGCCACGTTTCAGATAAACTGATAATAGTAAAAGGAAAATTAATATCAGAAATCATGTAAGAAAAATTATCAAAATTTGCACGAAGACTTCTAATATTACAATTAAGTATAGAAAAAGACTTAGATAAATTCTTAATTTCAAAGGATTCTTGGAAATCCTCAATACTGAAGTAATTAAAATTTACCTTTGAAGGAATATTTACTTCAGGGTCCACATATGACAAATGAGGCATGTTATCAATGGCCGATGACGTATAAATCATCGGCAGATCATTTAGGTTTCTCCCAGTTAGATCAGGCATCTGCACTTAGTGATGGCATTTGGTATTGATCTTGATCTTCACTCTCATAGTTGTGGATTGGTCGAATAGACATCAAATCCAAGTCACGAAGCGATTTAACATTAAAGGGAGGACACGATTCATCTTTACGTACATAGATTTGACCATAATGTGTCCATATGAACTTGAATTTAGATTTCTTTTTTGCCTCTAAGGTCTTACGGAAAAGTTCCTTTTTGCTGGAGGTCAAACTTTCTTGGATAAAGATCTTTTTATCTCCAGATCTACCTAAGCCGATATCCTTGGTAGTAAATGTCTTCAACTTTGTTTTTGCTTTAAATAATTTATCTCTGAGGCTTCGTCGAACAAATCTTACGATTATAGCTTGATCTGCATTTCTTTTATTCGGAAGTCTATGACTCACAGAGATATCCTCGTCAGAAATTTGCACGTTGACCAAGGAGCCAACTTTTTTAACGATCTCATCTGTCTTCTCATTAGAAGTAAGTGGAATCCCTCGAATTTCCAAGCATTCGCGACGAGTATATTGTTCTTGTTCGTCGATATCACTTTTAACTTGGTTCAAGGTATTGGTTAGATGAGTAGTTTGCATCTTGAGAAGTTTATTCTCTTCGATTAGTTTCTTGTTTGTCTCCTCTAGGGTTTGTACTCTTTTAATCATCTCATCAAAACCTTTGCTCATAAAGTCAAGCGATTTCAAGATTGGATCCAGCTTGAGGTCGAATATGGTAGCCATCTTGTCAGTCAAGAACTCGTCAAATACAGCTTTTACGCATACCTTCAGCTTAGATTCATCGATCTCCATACTTGATAAAGATTAGAAAGACCGTGGTACCATAAAAGAAGAGACAGTAAAGAAGAAAATTAAAAGAAAAATCACATAAACGATGAAAATTATGGGAGCAAAAACATAACCGCCATGACAAGACCATGACCTGCGCAGAAATTGAGTATTTTCATTGCGAAGCTTTGTTATTTCTTCTTCGAGGTTCGCAAGTTTCTCGAGTATTTTTACGTAAATGTTAGTCTCTGACACGGTTTCCTCTGATTCCTGTTGCTGAGAAACGACTGCTTCTATTTCACTTAGACTATCAGTACAATTTACTTCATCATCAGTGACTTCTGGGGAAATATCAGCGTCATCGAGCTTGTCACTTTTCAGAGTTGTTGTTTGCAATGGCGGACGAAATGTTGTCGCCTTTCTTGTACGAGGAGATGGAACTGACCACGCAAATTTCGACGGAACACCAACATCAACTACATGAATTTGGCCATTCAATGATTTCCTCAGGTCTTCAGATCTGAAGTGAAGGGAACAGACCTTTGTAGAGCTAGTAATTTTGAAGTTTTTATCCTTGCTCGCGGCGAATGGCTTGGATCCATTGTTTTCTTTTCTGAGTCAGTTTTGGAAGTGAAAAATAAGACATTTTTTCACCGTTTGGCGTTGTAAAACCCTGTTGGTTGCATTGAGGAACACAGCCACTTGTAGGCATGTCGATTACAAGTAGATATTGAGAAATCTTACGGAGACAAACACAATTTAAAAAAACGCAAATAAATAGACTGGTTTTTGATCGAATGTTCAACTTGAACATTTTTGATCAGTCTCCTTACTAGGCTCGATTTCGTGCACTCGCCCCAGTTTTTCCCGAGCGTTCCGCCATACTGACATCCGGTGTATTTCTGTCAGAGTAATAAGTTTTATAATCACATGAAGAACTACTTGAAGAAGAGGCTAGATAATTTCAAAGATTTGCTGTTAAATCGTGTTCCCCCTGGAGTTCCATTGATATTGTTATTAGACAATATAAACATGTGTCGAGGTGTAAAACGCCATCAGAGACTTGTCAAACAAATCACTCCAAATGTGTGGAATTTTACAGTTTGTGGTACAATAATCCCCAACTGTAATGGCATTCATAATCTTTTCCAAAATGAAAAGACATCACGGAAACCACAAAAGGAGCTATCAAAATTAATTAGGTCGAGAGAGGAAATGGTTTTGAGCAAATCAAAAACACATGATGAAAGTGCGGTTTCAGGCGTCAGAAACAAAAAAAAAATTCTGGGGGCTGAGAGTAGAGCTTATGCATAATGGCCTTCTTTTCTTCCTCGTCCATGTCTGCCATGATATAACAAAAATTAAGAGGGCATCTCTGTAACAGCGTGCCACTCGATCTGGGCTCCAAAAATAGATTTCTTTTATATTCCTACCATCGAAAGTACTATCTATCCTCACTACAAAATTGCAGTTAGAATTGTTCTAAATTCTTTTTTCCACCCGCTATGCGAATTTTTGTCCATCGACCCCAAATCAGTGAAAGACGCCGATTTTCGAGGTCGCCCGAGGGCTACTTTCAAAGTCTGTTTTCTCGGGTTTCTCTGCACATAAAAGCTAATTTTTCTATCCAGAACTTTAGTCTAGTGTAACTTCTGCATAAAAACAGTAATAGTTTTTTT